CATGGCTCCCGCGTTGCTGCAGAGGCCGAGCGCCAACCCAAGCGAGGCTACGAGTTAGAGGGGGACAAGAAGGGCACAAGGTGCCTCGCGGCCCGTGGCTCTGGATGGAGGCGAGACCTGCGCACAGCYGCAGAGCCGCTCCCGGCGCTCGCCCGCGAACGGCACCGCCGCCCCAGCTCTTCTGAAAAGAGTGAGTTCTCTTCATTCTCTGTGGTATGTTCCTCTCAGTTAAAAAAAGAAAAAAAATAGCCATAAAACAAAAAAAACCCAACCCTTCTCTGCTACAGAAATTAAAAAAATCTCACCCTGCTACCTCTTAAAGAAACAGTCGCTGAGTTACACCCTCTATCAGCCCATGGTATTTATTGCTTTGAGAAGGAGATGCCCCAGAAAAGCAAAGCTCAGGAGGATCCGTTGTATGGAGAAATCCTCATTTTATTTTTTTTCTCTTCCTCAACAGCTTAACTTCAGTGGCAATTTAAAAGAGAGAGATTTATTTATAGGTAACTTGATAAAGAAGGCCTGCGGGTTTTACATTTGTACACTGAAGAGCAAGTCAGATTCATATCTTCAGTTAGGATTTCTTTCTTTTTTCTATTCTTACAAGGACTTTCAGAAAGCTTGGAAATTAAGAGCTGGAAGCAGTAAATACACAAAATAAACACACTGTTTGCTCTGCAATTAAAAGTCCCCCAAAGATGGTTCTACCCTTGGTTCTGAGAAACACCGAAGAACGCAACATCAGTGCAACCTGATGATTTCAAGCTACATTCCTCCCTCACTAGGTTGCTTGTGGTAGCTCTGTTCACCAGCAGAAGGAAGTGGGTGGATGGTCTGCATAAACATCTTGAGCTAATGCTCCTCACTTTTAATGTGCCTTTTAAGTATATAAGTTAGAAATCCTGCCTTGAAAGAACAACTGCTGCAAATGGCAGTCACTTTATCTCAGAAAAAGAAGTGAAACGATGTCTCCACTGATTTCCTCCTTCCTTCCCCCCCTATAAAGGAGAACAGAAAGATGATTGCAGGTTGATTTGCCCTGTTGTGATTTTTTCTCTCAATTCTTATTTTTAGAATCTACCCAGGATTAATGAGTGTTCATCGATTCACAGCACGGGAGCTGCACAGAGGAGAACGCAAAATGCGAACTGGGAAAGGCAGGGAAGGGAGCAGGGAGGGAGGGAGTTTTGCCTGTCTGCTTCTTTGGAATAGATGAGGCTGACAGAAAGATCTTCCCTCAAAATATATTGGATCTTCCCTCAAAATATATTGCTTCTTCCCCCCAGACGCTCCCTCCCCGCCTGCCCGTTGCTTGTGCACAAGCAAAACTAACATACTCACTGCCTTGTCTGATTTCTGGTTTGTGAGTGAAGAAGTTGAAGTATGTGTCAGCAAGGAAATGGAACCAAGCTGAGACTCAGTAAGATGATTTACTTGGAGACTGTTCAGGGCCCTGTTCCCTCAAGAAGGGTCCTACAGAAGGGGATCTCATTACATCTACGCTACTACTGGTAATTTTTTTGAAGCACTAATTAAATTTGGTATTTGCTAGATTATGCTGGAGAAAAAACATATCCTCCTTCCCTCTTTCTCAGAAAGGAGCAAAAATGTCTCTGTGGCCAGTTCACAAGAAAAAAAAATCAGTTTTCTCACCACAACTGCAGCTGGCTTTAGCTGCATTTGCAGAGGTGCTGTAGGTAGGTGCTGCAGATAAGATGAGAAGACGGTCACAACAGCCAGTGAGCAACCACAGTGTTGAAGCTGGACTGTCAGTAAYGGCAAAATGTTAAAGCTCTGCCTACCTTTGCACAGAAAACAGATGTCACTGGTCGCATAATTATCAATACATTGGGCTGTAGGAGTGATGAATTTTCGTTTGTGCTGATTAATCCCACAGCCTGCCCTCACTGGCAGGTGGTTAAACTTCTCTAATTAAAACGTCACAGCCAGGAGAAGGATGATCAAACAACTAGAAATACAGGGAGAAGATCACAGGTGCTTCAAGATGGGATTCAGAGTTTAGGGAAGGGGTGATGGTGGAAAAAATGAAGAGGGAAGGCGGGAGAGAGAAAGACCTCTACTCCCTTCTGGTATCATTTGCTAAAAAAGGGACCTGATGCCTTCTAAGCATCATGAAAATGGTTTCTAGAGGTAGATAATGTTACTCCAGTTTTCCATGTAAGGACTGAATACATTCTTCAAAGTACCTCATTTTTAGCCTGTTCACTAAGCATATGGTAGATCTATTTTTAAGCTCTTTGAACATGTCTAAGTGCAAGAATAAAAGAAAATGATGGGTTAACTTGACTTCATTATGAAACCGAGTTTATTACATGTACTGCTCAGGGAATGATCTGCAGGGGATGCTCATGTCTAGTGACTCAGCTACAGGTCAGAATCTGGTTCTTCAGGCTTAAAGCTACTACAGTCTGTTCACTGTAGCTCTAGGAAGCAATCYTTCACGTCCTAAACAGAATGTCACACTAAAGTAATAGGTTAAATGGCAGTTACAGATAATTTGGTTATATGTCAGGAAAACAACAACAATAATATATATATATATACAAAAAAACAATCTTTCTAGTGATAAAGACTGAAAAAGAAAAAAAGAAAAGATAAGCTAGAAGAGATGGTTAGGGCAATGTGAAGGCTAGACAGGTATGGTCTTCTCCCTGTATTTCTAGTTGTTTGATCATCCTTCTCCTGGCTGTGACGTTTTGATTAGAGAAGCTAATCTTAGCAYTGTGAAGGCAGTACCAGGAATGGTACTATCTTTGGTCAGAAGGATGGATCAGCCTTTCAGACAGGTTTGCTATGACTCAATGGGTGACAAAAACAGCAGACACCATCACTTTTTTATAGCCCCTGCCCTCAAGCCAGAGAAAGTCTGATGTTTTTCTTTCTCTGTACTCTCTTCAATTGCCCAAGGTTCATATACTTAAGAGAAGAAACTGCACGTTAAATCTGCTCTGTGAATGAAGGAACATCTGCAAAGGTACTAAAACCGCACCTCAAGATCCTCTCAGACACACAGAGCAGAGGGTGGGTGTTTGCTCAGGTGAACATGTCCTCCACTTGCCCTGCAGGACTATCTACAACAGCGTTCCTTGACCTGGGATCTGGGACCACAAATTATCAGGTGGTCCACAAGCGCAGAGCACAAATACGAGCAAACAAACACACATCCACAAGGCAACGTGGCAACATGTTGCAGGTGGGGCTTGAGCTCCCTCTCACACTCACTTATGCCTTCCCCAGACTCTGAGGATGAGCAGTTGTAAAGCACTGATCCAGAGCATCCATGAGAACTGCTCCCACTCTCCTCTTTGGGAGAATGAAAAGAGCACTGGGTGAGGAAGAGGCACACAAGAGAACTTTGTGCTCTTTCTTTGGATTAAAAAGACAAGTGCAGAATTGGAGAAAAATCCGGAATTGACAGGCAGGGTTTCACTTAAGGTGACTGCTTTGTGATATACCTCATAGATTACACAAATGTAGGTAACTCAGGAGATTTGGAGATCCTGTCTGGAGTTCTTCCCTGCTTCCTGGCACGAAAAGACAAAAATCTGAAGACTGCAGAAGAACAACTAGGTGTGTAACACAAGCTACAGGTGCCAGATTTGTGGATCATGGTCTACTGACTATGGGYCAAGGCTAAACAAATCAGATTAAATAAGCAACCAAAAGCATGTTCAGCACAAAAACATGATGTCAAGAACAACATTACATAAAGTGGAGGCTGTAAGATGAGATCCTTCTCAGTTGCCTATATGTAAATTATGAATGACAAACCAYATGTCTTCACAGCAGCAATTCCAATCAATATTCTTGAAAACTATTAGGTAGATTCATTATTCATCAGCATTCATTAGTGTAGTGTTAAAAGGAATAATTGTAACCAATTTAAGAAGCCCAGCTGGACGAGGGGAATTGACAAGCACTTCATGTCACAAATAAAATCTGTATGAGTGATTGACAACTTAGGATGGAAGTCAACTTGGAYAGTAATGAATCACGTAAGATGAGGTGCTGGCATCTCTTATAGATGATCAGAAAGATTTTAGAGGATAGGATGATTGGCTTCTTCAACACCTATATACAGTAAGTATCACGGACACCCCACCATCTCAGTCACAGCAGGACCTGCTGACTTGCTCCCTCCCACAGGCACAGCCTGCTGCTCGTCACAGGTTGTAGCTACACCTGAACTGCCTGCAAGCCACGTGTGGTGTGAGACAGAAACAGCCTCTGCTCTGCATCTTGATTAGTGGAGAGGAAGTGATCACAAACTTGCTTGTTTAGACTRAAAAGGACTAACATTTTACACACAAATAGAAATTGTACATTGTATTAATATTCACTGTGGTGAAATTTTATACAATATATGAACGTACACTTCATCTATCCATAAATTAAAAACAGAAGGCATGATTAGTGAGAGGTAATTTCCTGAAACTAAAACAGATGGGAGTCAAGACAGATGGAAGAAAGAAAAGAAAGAAACTTGGAAATGATTTAAGATGTTTGCTAAATGCCTACAGCTGAAAAAGTAGGACCCAACCAGTTAAATATAACACACAACCAAAAAAAAAAAAAAAAAAAACCACACACCCAACAGCTGGGTTTACTAGGGAAGTGAAAAAAAAAAAGATATAAAGTACTACACATAAAGCCAGAAGGGGGAAGAAAAGAAAAAGATAACAATGAATATAAAACCTAAAGACTATACAAAGGAAGCAAGAAGATACTAGGAAAAAAGTAAGGCAAGTAGCCTTTTTACTCTGCTAAGCAGATGAAGAAAGACGAATTTTAAACAACAAAAGTGGTAGAATCATTCAGAACAACACAGCAGAGGCAGAAGTTATTTAGTAAATATRTCTGATTAGTCTGCAAGTAAAAGCCAGGTGATCTATTTATGATGATGATGAAATAACTTCCTCTAGGTATTTCAAATCAGTTGGTACAAATAGACTTGTCTTAGAAATTTTTAAAGAACTAACCTCCAGGCTCCTGCTGCTGCTTCTAAAGCAGTTCTGGGCCACTGAGGAAGTTCTAGGGACAAGAAGAAAGTTCATGTTGTGCCAGCATTTAAGAAAGGTAAAAAGTAATTACAGGCCAGTCCGTTGAGTTTCCAGTACTTTGCATGGGGCAGAACAGTCAACACAGGATTCATTTAATAAAAACTTAGAAGAAAGCTCTATAATTAAAGTCAATCAACTTGGCTTCAAGGAAAATAGATCCTGTGAAACTAAACTGATGTTACTTCTTGCTAAAATTACAAGCTCACTTGATGAAGGCAGGGTTGTTGATAGCACTGCARGTTTAAGTCATTTGACTTGGTTTATAGAACACCTTGATCAAGAAACTCAATGCTTTGAAGTCCAAAGGGAGGATGCTCCACAGACTGACACTAAGTCTCCATTCCTGGAGAGCACTGTAAGAGGTCAGGCAAGAAACTCAAATATATTCTGTACTGAAGACATGTCTGAGTCTACAATCATATTAAACATATTAAAAAGTTGATCAGTTAGAGGATTCAAAGTGTAACTGCAAATACAGAAATAACGAATGCAGGTCATACTTACAGGATGAGAGGGAGAGAGAGGACTCTATCCTCCRAAGCAGAGACTAAATATGAGACTGGGAGTCCTGATGGGCAGTCAGCTCAACATGAAATCCCAAAGCAAGGCTGTGGCCAAGAGGGATAATTCGAGCCTCTACTGTAAAAACAAATGAAAAGTATATATCAAGTTCTGCCATGCCATTTTTCAAATAAGGTGAAAAACATGAAGAATGTTAAGAGGAGAAAGACTATAGAACRGAAAACACTGGATAACAGAAGTCTTCAACAGAAACAAAACCAAAATTTGGGTTTTTTTTCTGCTCTTAGTCTAGACGTATTTGTACAGGGAACTAATTTGATAACAATGGGCTCTATTCTAGCAAAGGTGGAAAACTCAAGTAGAAACTCATCCAATCCAAACTGGAAAAGGGCACTTTGTTTTGCTTTTCTCAGCAGTGATCAGTTATGGCCAATTAGCCAGTGAAGGCCTTTACAGCACAGACTGTGATACACTGCTCACTTCTGCAAAGTTAGAAAGAGCCCTTCTAGATTTAAAAATCCCCTTCCAGTCTTGATTAGAAGGCAAGAAGCAGGAGTTCTTCAGGTAAGATCCATGGTCTTCTTCATATGAGTGGTCAGAGGAGCGATCACAGCATCTGACAGTGCTTTGCATTCCTATTAAAATGCACCCACTCCTGTGCTGGGGTAGCAGCCATCCCGACGCCCTTCCCGCTCACACACGCAGGAGGCCTCCAGGGGAAAGGGCCTCGGGGGCTGTTGGGCCATGGAAGCAGTGGTGGCGCTCCRCTGTCCACCTTTTCAGCAATGTGAAAGGCAGCAGACTCTCAATTCCCAGCACGTGGCTCCACATCAAAACTCACAGTTCCAACTTGCTGATACTGGGACGCCAAGGAAACAACCTTCAGGAGCCGGACGGGGTTATTACAGCCCTGGCTATGAGAACCTGTCCCTCTTTTATCAGCAATTTACTTTATCTGCTGCCTGCTGCTTGCATTCATGCCCCAGGATCCCAAAGCCACAAAAGGGGGCCTAAAAGAATTAGGGTGACAGAAGGAATCCTCCCTACCTTGCAGATATTTCCACTCCCAACCTGACCCGTTGAGGATGAACGTAGGAAGCGCCTGGCTTGCTGAGGGAGACAAGTTAGTGTCTTCCAAGGGGCTGAGAGGGGGTGAGTGCTGCCCCAGCAGGCACCTCCCAGCTCATGCAGGAGCTGCCCATTCCTTCTCCTTTCCCTGCACCTGCCTGAGGGAACCGCACGCTGCCGAGAAAGCTCCCGGTCGTGCATCCCAGGGCTGGATTCTGGCAGGTGGGCTCCTAAGGGCTCTGTGCTCTGAATTTCCTTCATCCCGCAGCCTGCCAATATTTAAGTGTGGTGGGTTTCAAGGACACAGCACGAGCTTTTGTCCACGCTGTCTGTCCTAACCTGGGCCTCTGGCCAGCAAGTATTAATCCCATCAATGTGTAGGAGAGGCAAAGGGGACTGGGGACTGCTTGATCCACCCCAGTTGCTGGCATCAGCTCGTTTTAAGCTTCTAGAATGAATTCACTTATGACTAAATGCTGCGATGTAAATTCTGCAAATCGAACAGATAAAATAATCTCAATTAGTTGAGCTCAGTGTTGGTTCACATATGCCACTCCAGAGATTTAAAAGGCATTATTTCATACAAACATTTCATTATATTTAATTAATCATGATTCAACAGATAGTTTTCTTTTCAGCAGGTGGGAAAAAAAATGAGTATTTGGCACTTTCAGTCACTTTCACAGTGCGATTCCTTCTGAAATACAGCACGGACCAGTACAATCAAAAGCAGAATCCCATCACAGGCAAAGTGACAGAAACACAAAAATAYAGAGTGAGCAAAAGCGATGAAGCTTGTGACAATTTTAAGGAGGAAAAAGGTCTGTCCAATCGTTATTACTGTATGTGTGTGCATGTGTATATACATATATGCAGTCATCCAAACACACCACCAAAAAAAGGTCTCTGCTATACCTGGCATTTCTGTCAACAGATCTTGACTGAGAAGTGTACAATTAGCAAATCTTTACTAAAAGAACAGAACTTTGGTAAAAAGCCTATCACGAGCAAAGCCTCACAGCTACTAATAGAAGATTAATCAGAATTTGATAAAGTGCACTTTGAATTGTGCATTTTTGTATTTTAACACCGTTTGTCCTCTTGGATGCATTTTTCTGCCCCATTCTCTGGCGCGAGCCGGCTACGTCCTACAGCGTGAGGGGGTCCCGCTCAGCAGCTGGGCAGCTGTGGTGCCCTCTCCAATTAAAGGCTTCRCTTATGTCAAAAGATGCCACCAGTTTTCACTCATTCAGAGATCATATAGGCATAGGCATATAGGAATTCACAAATTTCTTTCTAAGGATGAAGCAATCATGGTAATCTTAYTAAACATAAATACGTAAACATAGAAACAAGTTTAAATATGGATTAAAAAAACCCAAACTTTGAAATATAAAGAAATGAGCCAGCAGTTAAGCTTGTCCTTTTACTCCAGACACACAGAGAAGGAATTAAGTGGGAGTATGTGAGACTAAGCGTCCGCCTTTGTAATTCACGCAGAGCAGACTCGGCAATGCTATGGGAGTTAATGCAGTGACCCCCAGAAGTGTCACTTTGGCAGATCTCAAGAGGCACCGCTGACCTGCGGCTGGCTGCAGTTTCTGCCCCAATTCCAGTTTAATGGATTCCAGTTTGACCCTGAGGCGACGGCGCTGCTGGAGAACATGCTAAGAAGCAAATGCAGGCAATTGCTTTGACATAATTCCTTTGGACGCAGGCAGATCAAATGTGCTGATGTAAACAGAGGCTCGAAAAGGGCTCTACCCAATCTCTGCTCCTCACTGAAGAAAACAATAGGAGAAAATAGAGGGCAAACTAAAACCCAGCCAAGCAAACACACACCTCCCAGCAGAAAAACTAATATATGGTGTCTAAGAAAGGGAAAACGAAGACAAGCACTTCAACAGTAGCATTTGGATATGTACACAGGATGTGATTTACAGCTTAGATTTACATATGTCTCATATATATAATTGGCTCTTTCTATATAACCCACATGAAACATCTGCTCCATCTAGGATGTTAATCTCAAACCTCAGGAGGAGCGCAAGTCAGGTCTTTATGGCTAGAGTAAATTCAAAAGAGTTACTAAGACAGCTCCCTCACCTTAAAGCAAGGCCTGACTCTCATTCGTCTGAAAAATAAGGAACTGTATAGATAGTTTTCTAGGCAATGAAAAGTTCCTGTCTGGCCCCCGGTTTAAATTTCCAAGTTTGAGAGACYTTGAGGCTGCATATTTTGATGCCAACTCAGGGAACATCAAGGGAACTTCTTAATCTTCTCCATGGGGACTGAAAGAACAGAGGCTGGGAATATTTTCCAAGGACAAGGTGAATTCTGGTGGGAAACCAAATCAAGGAAGCCATGATGACTACCTGGAGAATAAAAGAGTAAAGTAAAAATTTGCTTCTCTAACTGGTTACAGTTGCTCCTGACATAACTTCTGTATAAAGGGAGAAGAAAAAAACACAGAATAACGGCACAGTTTTTAGAACTCATGGGGATCATCCGAAAGCAGAAAATGGCTGGTCTGTCAATTTTACACGAGGAATACAAGCAAACAAATCCCAAACTGCAAACCCTGATTCCCTCCTCCCTCTTTTACCTCCTTTCCTAGAAAGGCGTTCTCCTGTCCCGGAGCAGCACTCTCCCTTCAGCTCCCCATCCCTCCATGCACACTGAGTGCAATCACTGGTGTCATGCAAAAGCCAGATGTGACTCCTACAGCTTCCTCTTTCTCTGCACCTAGAGGGCTTCCAAGGAGAGAAAACCCTGTGAAGAAACTTATTCTCATTTCCCTTTACTGCAACTGCTTGTATGGGGCTCTCTACCACAACCAGAGTCTGTATGTGCTACCTAACCGCGACAAAGAGACACAGATCACCGTTCGCAGCATCTGTAAGAAACCAGGCCCCTGAGAGATGCATGATCATGTGTTAAGCTCCTGAAACTACCTGACCCAGAATATCAAACCACTCCTGCACCAGAAAGAAATGGTCTTTTATCCTTCATCATCTCTCAATCTTTACCTGACCTACCTAACCCAAAATAGGGCCCCAAAGTGAGGTCCATGCTTYGGTTGCTCATCAGAGTAGTAAGGGCTGCCCAGCTCTGGAACTGCTGCTCCAGAGATTCGGAGGACAAAGAGAGTAAGGCTTAACATGCTAAGGATGTTATTGGAATTTCTCAGGCTGTCTTATTAAATTTTGAAGTATTTTTTCTAACATCGTAGCATCTCCAGAGAGCGATGCACCACCCTGAACAGTGTTCCAATCTATGTGACTACTCTCACAGTAGAGTGACAGCCAGCATGGCTAGGACTTAACGATGCTGTAAAACAACTCCTGGAATGGGCTTGATGATTGGTATTAGATAAATAAAGCAACTATAATGTAGGAATAATGTAAGTGAAATAAAGAGGATAGGGTATCCTCTGGATTTTGGCTAGATAGGCTAGATAAATGAAAAAGCAGCAACTGAATGCACTCCTGTCATTACACAGCCGTCTACACCAAGACCCAGGGTTCATCACATTTGCTCTGCTGCAAAGCTGCAATCGTTATGACAGTCCCAGCAGCTATTAGGTACTTTGTGCTCCCTATTTTCTCAGAGCCGGATAAGGACTGGAGATCTGATTGTCTGCCTGATTGGAACCCTTCCCCTAAATATACGAGTCTGATATGACTTCCAGTTTGGAGTGACAGTGGGTTACTCGCTGTTGGGCGACTGCAGGCTGCTGCAGTGTTTTTACTACAGGAAATGTTTATTCCATATGCAAGAAGATCACGCTTACAAGAAATAATGCAGGAAAGGAAAGTGATCTAATTTCTATTCGACTTCCTTCCTTCTGCAGTGTGCTGCATTGAGATGTTTGTTCCAAAACAGAGATACCAGTTCAAGGCCAAGATTCAATTTATCCTGATTCTACAAAACAAGCCTGCAGCTAAACTGCAATGCAACCATCTCCAGCTATTGTACTGCATTCGCATTTGTGTAAGTGATGCAGGTAAGTGGGCTTAAAATTCTTCTTTTCAAGGCTACTGAGC